ACTGATCAATGAAATGCTATTGTCATAATACTGCTTACTTCCTATAATACTGATATAATACAGGTAGTTTTTTAAATTTTTACTATTAATGGGTTTTGAACTTCTAATCTACCATTCGGGAGTTAACAACTTATCTACTTCACTAAATTGTCATATCCCATATGGTATATTTTCATTTGTGATTTAATTTATATGTTATTAGAGATAACTAATTTATACATTTATGTTCATATTTATTAATTTAAGCATTAAATTATAGTTTTTAATGTTTTTTTTTGTGTTCAAATTATATATATTATGCATTGAAAGACTATTTAACAGTGCAATAAATGCATATATATATGTGATCATATAAAATTATATTTATATTTGAGTTAGTATTAATGTTCAATTTTATATCTTTTTACATGTACAGTATGTAATAAAATTGATATTTATAATAATTTATATATGCTCTTAAAAATATTAAAAACATAAAAATTTAATTTTTAAAAAATTTAATTGACACATTGTTTTATAATAAGTTTATATATGCAATTTATTCTTAATATAAGAATGTTACTGGGTCTATTCAAAATCTTTCTTAGAGTATATCAAGACTTATATCATTAAAGGTTTTTTATTCAAAAGTTACTTTTTTTAAACTTAAACCCATAAATTTGTTATAGCAAGGTATAGATGACTATATAGATTCATTATAGCAAGGTACCTCAATAGATCAAAACCTTAATATATCAAACAAAACACCCCAGCTCCAGAGGTTCGTTATATTGAGGTTATACTGTATAACCAATTAATCGAATATAACTGGATTAATATAACTGATTAATCGAATATAACCGGATTAATATAACCGATTAATCGAATATAACCAAATTAATATATCCGATTAATCGAATTTAACCAGAGATAATATACCCGATTTATATTCAGTTTTGATTTTTGAAAAGTTATTTTAAACCCGGTTAATGAAAATAAAACCGGTTCCAACCCCTACTACGTATCCTATGTATCGGGTTAATAATGGATATCAGTGGGATACAGTGTATAATTATAATAATCAGTATAAACAATATAATCTCATTGATATAAACATTATAATTAGTATAATTAGTATAAGTGCGATATCACGAATCAAATGTATAACATGCCTTATGTAAACGAAAGTATATAATAAAGGCTTCGAGCCCTACGAAGAAAGTATGCAGTGTTCGTGATTCAAATAAAATTCGTCCCCTAACAATAATATCCTACTGTCGTTATAATAATACCTACAATCATAAACTATCTACTCGCCAGATCAATCGCCTCTTAGCGACTAAGCCGATTCGTATGTTACACGACATATCCGTTTGAAAAGCGACCGACACGACTGACTCGCCGTTTCGCTCGTGTCAATATCGATATGCAGAAATTCAGCAAATATCGCACGATCATAATCACGTGATCTCGAACCGAGCACAGATTATAATTTCGCTTTTGTAGATACACATGTAAAATTCCAGGATGCCTTTGAGGCAGGCACCTTGTGTCCTAGCGCCTAGTAATTTTGATCAGGCCTTTACGCTTATAATACGAGGTACCCAACATGTGCCTGAAATTTTGTGCTCGTACTTACAAAGTACCCAACAACTTTATGCCACATGGTTTGTATTTGTGCTCATGCCTGTGCCTTTTATTACTTGCCAATCTTGCGAATCCTTAGGCTCAGGGTTTGCGATGGATTATGATAGGTTCTGAGAAAAATGTCAATGGACATAGTCCATTGGCATCTTATAAGCCACATTTTGGTCCATCGGCTAACCTAGCTAGGCGGGGATTTATCATTAGAAGTTAGATACTATATATGGTGAAATATCTGGTTCTGATTCATCTCGGTTTTCCGAATTATAAGGAATATGGGTCTCAACTAAACGAAAACAAACATTATCTTTAACGTTCTCACCTATGATAAAGCGTATTTAATTAAGAGTATAATACCAAAAGTTTAAAATATTAGAATTACATACTCTTCGAGAACGAGGTATCAAAATCGGTATTATTTTTTTATTCATAGTGTCATACATTATTAGAGAATTTTGTTTTTAATAAAATTTCGGAACTTTATTTGAAAGAATTTTTGAATATTGATACGACCAGGGAATGAGAAAAGGAAAACATGAAAGGCCAAAGAAATCTCAAATCATGAAGAACGGAAACAAATATAAAGAAAAATTGTTTTTTTTTTCAAAAAGGACCAGGTGTTGATATATTTAGAATTCTAATATTATAAAAACCAAGGTGTTACCTTTGTATGCCTATATCAATTTTCGAACAAAATTTGTTTTTTTATCTAACAGTGAACTTAATATTAGCTTTATAATTTAAATAATTTGAAATATATTTATTAAACAATTACACGATAAATAATTAAATATATTCATTCAATATATCATAATTGGCTATGGGAATAAAGTATTTAAATAAATAAATTAATATTCTTATCGTTATAGACTAGTAAATTAAATTTATTAATGCATACGTTAAATATCGTCATCATTAGAAACCGAAAAATCGAGTGTAGTAGAATCTTAAAAAAAATTAAAAAATAAAAATATTATCGATTAAAATTGAATATATTATAGGTAAGAGTAAATTATTATCATAAACTTTTGCTGACTTTACAGTTACAAAAAATGAAGAATTAATTGGCTTGCTAAGGTTTTTAAAGTTAAGCAGTTTACTTGTAAGCTTATCATTAGGGAAAATTGGCAATTCGGTTGATAATGTTGGAATAATTGCATCAGCAAACTGGAATGTCTTTAATATTGCTAATTCATCTTTATTTTCCGCACTACTATTATCTAATGTCTTATACCATGTTGATACTTCTTTATGTATATCAGATGCAGTTGGTCTGTTAAGGGATTAGCATTCATACATCGATTTGCTAATCGGATATAACACTCAGGAGTGTCTTTAGCAATTTCAGGACGTAATCCATTACATATTTGCATTGCTAACGTTTCATCATACTCAACATTATAATGAGAAGGTCTTCCCGTAGACATCTCAGTCATAATAATACCAAAGCTATAAATATCAGCCGCTGTTGTATATGGATGTTCATTTAACACTTCTGGCGCAACGTAAGGTAAAACGCCATAAATATCATCTTCCAAATCAGAATCACCCTTCTTCTAGATAATCCAAGATCTGCAATATATTACCGCTATGAAAATCTCCATGGATATATTCTGCTTTGTGCACTTTTATTAAATTTTCAGATATATCAACAAGCTGGTTTACTCTTCTCGCGTTTCAGTGAAGCTAAACCTACACGAAAAAAAAGATTTAGTACAACCAAAGAAAGTTGAAAAGAAAAGAAATTAAAAAACGACAAGAAAAACAAGGCCAGTACTTATCTTTGTACAAGTTTCCAGCCAGGTAAATCTCTAATACCCCCGGTGTTAATCTCGTGTTTTGGTCAAGCCAAACATACAAAAAGAAAAAATTAGTACAGTCGAAAAAAAAAGCCGGTACTTATCTTTGTACCGGTTCCAGCAAGTAAATCTCCAATAACCGGTACTATTTTCGTGTTCTGGTGAAGAAAATCTACATAAGAAAAAATTAGTACAACTGATGAAAAAAAGAATTAAACACAAATAAACAAACCCGATACTTATCTCTATATGCACCAGTTCCCAACTAAGCAAATCTCCAATCCCAGTGCTAATCTCATATTTCGGTAAAGCAAAATACAAAACCTACAAAATGAAAGAATAAGTTAGTATAGCAAAGAAAAAAATTAATGTCAAAAAGAAGACTGATATTTATCTTAACCAATTACCCATGTCAAATCATTGATGCTATTTCGTGATTCAGATTAAAAGGAATTCAACAAAAAAAAAAACTTATTTTATATTACCATAGGTATGTTACGGTCCTGCAAAGACGTGGTCCGGTCTTTTGGACCAGTTCAATCGGTTTTCGGTCCTAAATTGAGGACTAGTCCATAGCTTATAGAATGGTCTCATTGACTAAAAAAAGAAAAAATTTTCCGATGATCGAATCTATAAGTTTCTGATTCATTAGACTTGTTGATTTTGTCTCGGTAACTTTTCGATTCGGCCATTGGCAATTTTTCCGATGATCTAAACTGTGATCTGTGCATGATTTATATGCACATGACTTACTCATGTATTATTGTTAAGATCCAAGACCTGTTCGATCTTTTTTGGCAAGATAATTTTAACATCCTTCAGGATTCACAATGATAACTGTAAGTCAAAAATCTGAAATGAGTGATACTGAATTTAGAAAATGACAAATTTTATGCCATACGATGATGTTACAACCGACATCGGTATAAATTTGTAACGAGTTTTTAAAGTTTTATCCTTGATAATTCTAACATCTATTAATTTGTCTTCTTTATATGTAGTGGACATTAAAAACCACTTTGAAAACCAGCCAATAGACCGTGCTATGGATCGGTTTATAGACTGGTCCCGAACCACGGTCCAGTTCATAGTCCTCTGTCTTTAAGACCAAGACGGACCGTAACATCCCTATTATACCAGTTCTCTACTGATAGAAATTTAAAGAATTTTTATTTTGAAGTTCAACGAATATCTAAACACAATGGATACCATGTGATAATATATATGGTTCTTATTGGCCGATTTTATTATAATAAACTCGTGCTTTTCCGAAATGTGAGTACCCCATAAGAATTTAAAAAAAGAAATGACAATAGTTAAAGCGAAATTAGTGGTTAAATATAATGTTGGTTAAACAGAAATTTGAATATAGTTTAAAAGAAAAGAATGAATATAGTTAAAAAGAAAAGTCGATAAGAATGTTTTTAATAATTAAAAGAAAGAATGACGATAGTTAAAAAGAAAAGGGAAATTGACGGTTAAGTATGAAGTCGTTATACATAGGAAATTCGATACGGTTGTTGTTAATAATATCAATGGTGAGATTAGTGATTGTTATAGGGATACGGTCTTTAGTCGTTAGGATAATGGGCATTCTTTCGACTTTTCTGCCTCCTCAATAGCACCACCCGAGAACTTATTTCCAACTACAATGCCAATGTCACTGTCCTTCTCCAAACACATCACCCCTCTTAATGATCTAATTGTTTCTGGACCTGTAATTAATTAATAAATTAAAATAAATATTTCATTTTATTATAAAATTAATGAAATAAATTTACCTATATTATTGTACCAATTTTTCTATTGGAATAATATTTTTTTTCCTTTGATATAACATGTAATATCGACACCACCATCTCCTCTTTGCCTATAAACGATAATATGTAAGTACATGTATCATCGTTATTAACAACTAAATATTGCACGGCCGGAATAGTCTACGGTGACGTGCTAATTAGTTAGCATATATCCTATTCATCCGTTAATTCCCCGTGTAGGCAATACGAACCGCAGGAACATCAAGTAACTGAGAAAAAGAACGTTCTATGTCGAAACATAGGCCACGAGGAGCTTTCAATTCTTCTCAGATATTTTGCAACGATGGGACAGCGTAACTTCGGATATATGATAACTCAACAAATACTTGTGAAAAAACTCACCCACAATGAATAATTTCAAGACCGATGCTCTTGAGAAATTCAACGAAATCAACATCCAAAATTAAGCCTTTTACGTAAGTTGTTTGTTCAATTAAAACTTCAATAACAGCGGTTTCGGAACGCATTTTGATTTCTTTAAAAATAAAACTATACATTTTTCTTATCTTTTTATTTCGAATTGTTATTACTCCTTTTTCACTGGAAAAGCTTCAACAAAAGAACGTGTTTAAATTACTCGAATCATACATCTCATGCCGGAATACCATTTTTAGAATGACAAAAAACAGTGCAGAGTATATCGATATATTTCCAGTTGTCTGGAGATCAGTTTATGATTAATCAAATTCGGTTAAGTCTGGTTGCAACCTGAATCTATCTATATACACCCACTTATACTAACAGGTTACTGTAATGCGGGAAGCTAACCCATAACGAGTACCCTTATGTCAAGCGAACCCTTCCGATCCAAATACTTGGGTTGGAGTATTTCAAGTATCCTATCTATATCCGATGTGAAAGAGTAAAATGTAATATGTAAATTTTTAATGCTGAGAATTTTTAATTTTTTTTTTTTGCTGTTTCGCTGTTTTTTTTTGTTACACAAGATCCTGAGATTGTATTGGTTCCGGACCAGAAATTTTTCGCTTGACATAAGGGTACCCTGTGATCCTGGCCGATCATGAATTTCGACTATGACTAAGCCGAAAAATTTATCGGCCTAATGTTAATTGGCTTAGTTGATTAACCGATTATATTCCGAACCTTGCTCGTATTTTAAGTTCGTTTGATTGATCTGATTGGTCTATGATCACGTTTTGAGTGCCATAAATTAGCCAATCATACGAATGTCGCCCTATGAATATAGTACTCACAGGTAAATCAATTAACGCGCAGATGGGCGTTATTACGCGCTTAGTGGCCAACCAATTGGACAATGGTCAAACTTTGACCAAAGTTTCTACTTTTTATAACATTAATCAATCAACGTTACTAGCTTTGCTATACAAAATATTTGGCCGTTTCGGCTAAATAATTTTCTTGCTCTTTTTTGTCATTGGCCAGCTAAGTGACAACACTGCCCGTGATAAATCTATACACAAGATAATTAATCTAATATTCAATATAACTTATATTGCATTATATTTAATTTTAAATAGTTTAAAAATAAATAAATTATATATATAGTATTTTTACTTTATAGATACATAATACAAATCTAATAAATACCTACTGTATATATTTATATATATTTACACCTTTGCTTACTAGGAAAACGGAAACCGTTATGAGTCCGAAGCATAAAATTTTTGTTTTTGTATTTTAAATTTTTAAAATGCATTTGATATAATGAGCTCGTGATGTACAGCCAATCAGGGATGCGGAAACGAACAGACAGAATGCACGTCTATTATTTATAGTACTTGATGGTAGATCAGATAATTTATATCTTAAACCAAGACATGGTAATAATGAAATTCGAGAATCTTCTAATCTTCTCTTTGGGCCATAATTTCTTTTCCAGTCCATTTGTGCACCCGGTGGTAGAACTTCAATCCCATTATAATACCAAATCATGTTTGACATTTGAAATGTAACTAAAGAGTTTGAAGGTGTAGAACGTCCATCAATAGAAAATCCACTACTTCCACCTTCGGTGAATTAACACGTTAAGATGGTATTTCAGCATTTGCAGTGTATGAGTGATCGACTTGGTTAATTGTATGTGATAAAAAATTAGAACTACTGTTTTGAAAATTATTTTGAAGATTGTTTTGAAACTTGGGTATTTCGCGAGAGGTGACAGTACCGGTTTTCTGATGTGAAAGTGACAGCAAGGAAGTAAGAAAAACAAACATAAAGTCAAAGAAGTCTCAAATCATGGAGAATGGAAAATGAATATTTAAAAACAAGTTTTAGTATTTATCGCCGGTTGCGATATCACCACCTCTTTTTTTAAAATCAAATTTAGGGTTATGGTGCAATTTTAGGGTTAAATATAAAGATCTAAATTTTAGTTGGGTTAGGTTTTGGGGGCCATGAGCATTTTTACTTAGTATCCCTGACATGTGCTAGCTAGTAGATATCGCCACCGGAAACATTCTTTTAAAAATTCTTTTATATAAAATTTTTTAAACAAGACTAGGCGGTTGGATATATTTTAATAATGAAATATATTTACCAAGTATTTACGCGATAAATAATTTAAATAAAATTCATTCATTGTTTATAAGACATCATCATTAGCTATAGAGACAAGGTATTTGAATAGATAAATTAATATCGTATATTATGGATTAGTAAATTATAATTATTAATACACACATGAAATATCATCATCATTAGAAATTGAAAAATCGAGTGTAGTGGAATCTTAAAAAATATTTAAAAATAAAAATCTTATCGATTAAAATTGAACATATAATAGTAAGAGAAAATTATTTACCATAAACTTTCGCCGATTTTACAGTTGCAATAAATGAAGAATTAATTGGCTTAGAAAGGGTTTTAAAGTTAAGCAGTTTACTTGTAAGTTTATCTTTAGGGCAAATCGGCAATTCGGTTGATAATGCTGGAATAATAGCATCTGCAGACTGGAATCCCTTTAAAATTACTAATTCATCTTTATTTTCCACACTACTATTATCTAATATCTTATACCATATTGATAATTCTTTATGTATATCGAATGCTGTTGGTCTATCAAAAGGATTAGCATTCATACATTGATTTGCTAATTGGATATAACACTCAGGAGTGTCTTTAGCAAATTCAGGACGTAATCCATTGCAAATTTTCATAGCTAACTTTTCATTATATTCAACATCATAATGAGGAGGTCTTCCTGTAGACATCTCAGTCATAATAATACCAAAACTATAAATATCAGCCGCTGTTGTATATGGATGTTTATTTAACACTTCTGGTGCAACATAAGGTAAAACTCCGTAAATCCCATCTTCCAAATTAGAATCCTCTTTTTTTCTAGATAATCCTAGATCAGCAATATAAGATATTAGACCACCACTAATATATTGATTTTGCAATATATTACCGCTATGAAAATCTCCATGGACATATTCTGCTTTGTGTACTTTTATTAAATTTTCAGATATATCGACAAGCTGCTTTAATTTACTTTTCCAATTAAGATCTTTAAAATTTGAAGATAGAAATTTATGAAGACTTCCTCTATTTGCATATTGAAATACCATCAAATATTCATTATTAATCGTAGCTTGAGTTAGTCCATATACTTCAAGATTATTACCCATTAATCTGAATTCAGTGTAACTTTTAAACTTGTTAATAATTAAAATAAAATTTATATAATGTTAATAGTTTATTTATAAATTGTTTATATTATATCATAAATAAACAATTTTAACTTACCTCTCTTAGAAAACTCTTTTGTGAACCAGGTAAAGTTTTAAGTGCAACTACACATGACGGTGTACGTGATTGTACATAGTCATAACTAGTGCCTAAAACTATTCTTTTACCATCTAACCACGTCGCAGAAAATACAGAGCCAAATCCTCCTTTACCAATCATTTGAACATTAACTAATCTATTAAAAGGAATCCATTCGATTACATTTTCGTATTCCGTGGTTTTAAGTTGAAATTCCTTAATGCAATCGTCGATCTCCTTATTTCCATTTGTCCATCCTTGTGTTGCCTTCTGAGGGTCACATGTTTGGCACCATGCTGGCGATGTGTTACATTGCTTGCAATTTGCGCATTTTCCATTATGATTATTTCTTTTAGAACTAAATTCATTAAAATCATTATATACTAACATATATTCATTCGTTGTGGTATTTTTAGTTAGACCATATACTTTAAGAGCATTATTTTCTAATTGTACATGACCTACAAACTTATTAAACATGTAAAGATACAGTATATAGGTTCAAATAAAGTTATATATGTTGTGTAACAATGATAAATTATTATTTGACTTACTTCTTTTAACATAGCTAATAAACTTTGCTTTCTATTTAATATTTTAAGCTCCACTACATATGTTGGTATACGTGACTTTGTAAATGTATCTTCACCACTTACATATTTTGCATATCGTATTCCATCTAACCAGGTTGCTAAAACTCTATCATCGATAGTTTGAACATTAACTAATCTATAAAAAGGAATCCATTCGATTACATTTTCGTATTTTGTAGCTTTAAGCTGAAATTCTTTAATGCAATCGTCAATATCCTTATTTTCACTTGTCCATCCTTGCATTGTTTTTTGAGGATCACATGTTTGACACCAAGCGTAATATGTGTTATATCGTTTGCAATTTACACATTTTCCATTCAACTTTTTTCTTTTAGAACTAAATTCATCAAAGTCGGTAAATACTAACATATATTCATTTGTGATAGTGTTTTGAGTTAATCCACAAACATGTTTACGCTCTAATTGGCACTCAGATTGCGCATAATTTTTAAACTTTTAAAATATATAAGTAAAATATAAGATGTAAAATATATTAGATATAAGAAATTAAGGTTATATAAACACGATAGTAATTAAACAAGCTACACATAGTAATAATATGCCAAGGGAAAATGCTTTCGAGTTTATTGATTATTATTTATCGGATTCACCTTTGAAGAGTTTAATATATTTGAAGGCCCAAAGCCCTGACAGAACTAAATATATGTCGCCGATTAGAAGGTCCAATAAATAATAAATAATAAACTTGAAAGCGCGATTTTTTATTTTTACTTAGTAGCATACTTAAGTAGCATAAGCATAGTCTTACCTCTTTCAAAAGATTTACTAAATTTTGTGATTGCGTCAATATTTTAAGCTCTACTTTATATGATGGTATACGCGACTGTGTATATTTAATCAGTATAAATATACCTTCATATTTTACATATCGTATTCCATCTAACCAGGTTGCCAAAACTCTATCGCCAATATTATGAATATTAACTAATTTATTAAAAGGAATCCATTCGATTACGTTTTCATATTTCGTAGCTTTAAGTTGAAATTCCTTAATGCAATCGTCGATCTCCTTATTTCCACTTGTCCATCCTTGTGTTGTCTTCTGAGGGTCGCATGTTTGACACCAACCACGAGATGTGTTATATCGCCTGCAATTTGCACATTTTCCATTATCTTCATCTCTTTTTTTATAAAATTCATCAAATACCAACATATACTCCTTTGTGAATGTATTTTGAGTTAATCCATAGATACTTTTATCCTCTAATTGACTCAATAATTGCTATATTAAATATACATACAGATTAAATATACAGATTAAATAAGCTACATATGCTGTAATAAAATAATATAGACTCACTTCTTTTAAAGTATTATGTAATGTTTTAAGTGTAATTATGCTTGCTGATGTGCGTGACTGTTTATATTTATTAAATATGCTTTTTTTTACATAACGTATTCCATCTAACCAGGTTGATAAAAATCCATTACCATTCCTTTGAATATTCTTTAATCTATTAAAAGGAATCCACTCGATTACATCTTCATAAGATGTAGCTTTAAGTTGAAATTCTTTAATACAATCATCGATATCCTTATTTCCACTTGTCCACCCTTGTGTTGCCTTATGAAGGTCGCATGTTTGACACCATGCCTTAGATGTGTTATATCGGTTGCAATTTGCACATTTTCCATTCCATTTATCTCTTTTAGAACCAAACTCATCAAATACTAACATATATTCATTTGTGATTGTATTTTGAGTTAATCCATAGACATTTTTATTCTCTAATTGACTCAATTGACTCATTAATTGCTATATTAAATATATTATAGATTATAGATTATAGAAGTATATACAAATTAAACATACAGATTAAATAAACTACATACTGTATCTTATATAACAAAAAAATATAAACTTACTTCTAAATTATTTTGTGTTCGTGTCAGTATTTTAATCTCAACTTTACATGCTGGTGTACGTGACCGTGTATATTCACATTTGCCATTTTCATTGTTATATTTAGAACTTATATATCGTATTCCATCTAACCAGGTTGTTAAAATTTTATCGTTGTTATTTTGAACGTTATCTAATCTATTAAAAGGAATCCATTCAATCACATTTGCATAAGATGTAGCTTTAAGTTGTAATTTCTTAATGCAATCATCGATATCCTTATTTCCGCTTATCCATCCTTGTGTTGTTTTCTGAGGGTCACATGTTTGGCACCAAACTGGTGACGTGTTATTTCGATTGCAGTCCGCACATTTTCCGTGATCTTGATATCTTTTAGAACCAAATTCATCAAATACTAACATATATTCGTTTGTGGATGTGTTCTGAGTTAGTCCATACACTTTATTCTTCTTTAACAGTACATAATCTACAAACTTATTAAATATGTAAATATACCGTATATTAAAAGCTATAAAGTGTGTAACAATGATCAACTTACTTCTTTTAACATATCTGATAAGCTATGTGTTCTAGTCAATGTTTTAAGCTCCAGTTTACATGATGGTATACGTGACTGTGTATATTCATATCTATATTCACTATTATCATATTTAGAATTTAGATATCGTATTCCATCTAACCACGTTGCTAAAACTCTATCGCCAATATTTTGAATATTAACTAATTTATTAAAAGGGATCCATTCGATTATATTTTCGTA